TCATTTAATCCTCTCAGGATTTCACTCTTCCAGTCCCCTGTTCTCACCGCGTTCCCATCTGACACAAGTTATGGCACATGCTGTTCCCGCCGCCTGGAACACTCCTTTCAGCTGGCTACGTATGGCCCCATCAGGCTCCTAGTGAAGCCGCCCACAGCACAGTCAGGATTTACATAGGTGCTGCTATATATTCCCTATTTTACGGAGCAGGAACGAAGGCCCAGAGAGTCTCTGAAGAACTGTCTCCCAGGCACCCCGAATACTGTGGCAGAGAGCCCGCTGGACTGTTTCCCCAGACAGGACACCAGGTGGCGCCCTCTGCCACACTGAGCGAACCTCAGCACCAGTAGGGTGACTTTAGAGCCCACAGCTGGCCTGGAGCTTAATGTCCTTGTCCCAAGGAGCCGTTCAGGAGTTTGCAAAGACTTCTAACATTTGTTAATTAATTTCCTGAACATCTGTTAGTTCATACAGTGCTAGTTAATGTTCCTGAGTAAGGAGCCCTTACTCGGTGCCACATGTTCACACACTCTTAGATTCCTCCCACCTTACACAGGTATGGTTACCACCTTCCTAAAGACGTGAAGTGGAACTGCCCAAGACCACCCAGCCTATAAGGAGTGAAGCAGAGCTGGACACAGGCAGCCTGATGGGTGCCACGGTTGTCACAGCGAGCGGACAGCTAGAGGCTGTCCACATGGGAGAGAATCCAGACAGAACGGGTAATCACACTGACAGATGGCAGCTAGGGAAGGGGACGCACAGAGAGCAATGAGGATGTGACCTAGCCAGCCGGGCTTCAGGAGAGGTGATACATGAAGGATGAGCAGAACCCTTCCTGCCCCACTGAGGACAAAGCCATCCATCCCCGGGGAATTGCTTCTGCACAGAAAAGCTTGGTAAGAGCAGAGGAGGAGGAGGAGAGGGTGCTGGGACTTTAGCTGAAGTAGAGTGAAGTAAGTTCCTTGGAGAGCCTGGCTTCCCCAGGCTCGGGGAAAAGATCCCCTTCACATGCAAAAGTGCGTGCATGTGCCCAGCAGCAAGGGGTGTCCACATTTGCCCACATCATTGGTCTCTGCCCTCCCCCTCCCCTCAGCAAGCCCTAGACATACCTATAAACACTCAATTGTCTTTAACATATAAGGCCATGTTTTAAAAGACAGGCATTGTTATCATAGCCAGCAAAATGAACAGAAAGCCTGAAAATATTTTCACTGGACCGAGAACAAGGTCCCCTCTGGGCAGGGTCCCTGTGGCTCTGGGGACTTGCGTTCTGGCTGCAGGTGGCTCCTGTTGTTCTGTGTGACCGCGGACTGCAGCTCGGTTGCCTTCTCTGTATCTAATCTCCTTCAGCCTCTCTTAGAAGGATCTGTGATTCCATTCAGGGCCCGTTCTGATTATCTGGGATGATCGCCTCATTGCAAGGTTCTTACTTTAATTAGATCTATAAAGTCCTGCTTTGCCATAGAAGATTCCATTCTCAGGTTCCAGGGGTGAGGCTGTTATTCCTTGTTATTACTGTTATTGACCCTTGTTCCTTGCAGATTTTTTTTTTTTTTTTTTTGGCATAGAAGAAGGGTGTAGGCCAGAGGTGCAGGATTGAAAGGATTCAGTAAAGACAGAGTGGGGAGCAGAACAGATGCATCTACTGAGATGCACTGCAAGGGGAGCAGTGGGCAGGAAAGGAGAGTCTGCTGCGCCCTGTGGGCCACTCCCCGCTTGGGCTGTTGAACTCAGGCCACAGCAGCAGTGAGAGTGATGAGACTTAATCGCTAGGCCACCAGGGAGCCCTCTGCAGATGTTTTTTGACACACATATTTATTGTCTTTATCTTTAGCCACTAGAAAGAAGCCTTCACTTTAGCTCCTGTGTCCTTTTGAATTGACCGCATTGGATGCATGCCTTGTTTCTTGGCTTGTCAAGATGTCTAGACTGCTTGTGCAGCCTCAGAACTGGCATGAGTCATTTCTCCAAGGAGCTCTGGTTGTTTTGTTTTTGTTTTTGTTTTTGTTTTTGTTTTTAATTTCATTGTCACTGAGCTGACCTTGCTTTTAGGCATTTTGTGAGTAGAAAAACCAGGAACTATATTTTCAGAATAAGAAAAATAATGTCTGTTTATCAAAAACTTTTGATTTGTCTTTTTTCTCATGCTGAAAATCTTAATTTCTAATAACACCATGAATTATTACCATGCTTTATCCTAATAATTCCATTAATCCTAGTAAGAGTATTGAGTAGAGTTTAAGCTGTGGCTATGGTTCTTTTTGCCCTTAGGCTATTATTCCATTTGTTAAGAGCAAGTAGTTTTTCCTGTTTAGGGCCCTTAACATAATTCTCCTTCCAGAGGCCACCAACTCTGACATGCAGTTAGGTTAGGTTTGAGCCAGTATCTTTTAAAGCGGTAGGGATTGCTTTTGTTACAATTTATTTAAATCAAAATATTTCCTTAGTTCAAAGTCAAAATTGAAAAAGAATTTCATATACGTTTAGACAGGCCCATTTCTGTCTTCTTCAGATAACATACCTGTTTTGTTTTTGATCTAATCTTTATATATATTTAAAATATGAACATAGGTATATAATTTACAACCCCTCTTTGCTTTTTCAAAAAGAGAGACATACATAACATTGCCTGGGCTGCTCTTAAACTTATATCCTGGCCATCACTTGGTGATAGAATACAGAACTGTCTGCCTCATTCCTTTTTTACAGTTGTGTAATATTCCAGTTAGGGCAGATGCCCCAAACATTCGACTGATGTGCATTCTGCTTGATTCCACCCTCTGTCATTACAGATTGTGCAGCAGTGTATCTAGCAGTGTGTATCAGTCATTTTTTAAGGTATTTTTTACTGAGCTAACAGTGGTAATGATACATACATTTTAGGTGTGCAGCACTGTAAGTTTGCATTGTAAAAACTCTGTGTACAGTCATCTTGTCAAGGAAAGGTTTGCGCAAAGTAGTGACCTGGACTGGTTTGCTATTTTACACAGCCCTGGCGAGTGGGAAGCAGCAAGGCCTGTCTGGAGGGGTGGGCCAGGACCTCAGGGCTAGGATCTCAGGATATAAAAGACAGACTGGTCATGTCTTTTATAATGAAAACCTACACTTCCTGTGGGATAGGTGGTGGTGATGTGGCCAGGTGCCTCATGTGGGGGAGGTGGGCTGGAGATGGTGAGCCCACGTACTCCACGGGAGTCGAGTTACCCCTTTGTTGTGGAGATGAGATGGTGCCTGCCCACCCCCATGCCAGGAAGAGGATGATAAGCCCCGAGAGCCAGCCTCCCCTCGACATCCCGCCCCAGCCCTCCCTCTCACCTTTCTCGCAGGGTGTCACGCCTGTCCACTGAGAAGCGCGAGCTGGAGACCCAGCTGGGCCGATCGCGAGAGGAGGCGCTGGCCGGTAGGGCGGCGCGCCAGGAGGCCGAATCTCTGCGCGGGCTTGTGCGTGGCCTGGAGCTGGAGCTACGGCAAGAGCGCAGTGTCGGGCACCGTGGGTCCGGCCGCCGAAGCCAGGAATGTCGCCGCCTGGCCAAGGAGGTGAGGGGGCTGGCCGGTCAGCGGGGGCGGCCAGTGGGTGCGGACCACGGCCTCAGGTGACTCTCTGCGCCCGAATCCTCTAATCCTCTCCCTAGCTTGAGGAAGTCAAGGCGTCTGAGCGAAGCCTGCGTGCCCGACTCAAGACTCTGAACGCCGAGCTGGCCATTTATAGGAGAGGGTGAGGGGCGTGGCCAAGGGTGGGCGTGGTCCCGCAGGGGGCAGGGGCGGGGCCTGGGGAGGGCTGGGAGGGACTAGAGTGGGTGGGCAGGATCTGAGGGGCGCAGCCCTGGGAAATGAAGTTGGGGGCGTGTAGTCGGAGGGTAGGCGCGGTTTCGTGGATTTACGGCCTCTGGAAGGTGGTTTGGGGCCGTGGGCGGGGCCTGAAGCGGCTTTGTGGGGGCTGAGACTGGAGAAGGCCAGGCAGGAGCAGGCCGTGGGTGTATTGAGCGAAAGGGAGTTGTCCAGCAGGTGTGGGGCTCCGGTTGGTGTTATTAGCATTTATGAGAGTGGTGGCAAATTGGGAGGGGCCTGAGGGTGCTCTGGGAAACCTCAGGAAGAAGGACCCGGCGAAGGGGTGTACGTGAGGCTGTGGAGCAGTGACAGACGCGTTCTTCCGCGGGGGTACGGTGGGTGGAGGGCTCTGAAGGCCCCGAGAGGAGCTGGAGACATTACCTGCGAGAAGTTACCTATGAGTGTTGTGTGTGAGGGCGCGGCTATCCAGAGCGGATGGTGGGTGGACCTGGAGGAAGAGGCTAGGGACAGGAGCTGGCCGGGCCTGGGGAAAACTGACAGAGGGTCCTGGGTCCCCAGAAGACGCACTCCGCCAGTACCCCTGCCCCCGGCCCGGGAGGACAGGACTTCCACGTCCCGGGAGCGCTCCACGTCACGTGGCCGAGGCGCCGCGCGCTCCTCTTCCCGGGAGAGCGGCCGCGGGAGCCGGGGTCGAGGCCGCCCTACCCGCCCCTCGCCCTCACCCTCAGGTCGGTGCCCTTGCGGCTTTGCCGGTGGAAGAGGAGGAATGGGTAGGGTGTTGGGGGTGTGATCGTGTGACCCCAGCCTCTGCCTCTCTCTACCTCCCTCTCCCAGGTGGTCGTGTGCCCCGTTTCGACCCGACAGCCTTTGTGAAAGCCAAGGAGAAGAAGCAGAGAGAGATCAAAATGAAGTTAGTGCTCATTTCTTCCATGCGGGTCTATCCCACTGACCTTTGCCCTCACCTCTGTCTATCTCACCTGCCAACTACTCCGTCTCCTCTGTTCCGCCTACCACTCCCACCACCCTAGCTTACCTGTCTCCCACCCACAACCACCCCTCGTCCTCCTGCTGTTACTCTCCTTAGGCTGTGTGACCATAAGCGATTCACAGGCCCAGGCTGTAACCCCAGGGGTGCAAGGGTGCCTTTCCCACATAAGTTGGTTGCACAGGCAAGCCTCTCCCTACTGCTCCCCAGGCAGCAGCAGCAGAGGAACCGATTGGGCAGTGGAGGAAGTGGGGACGGTCCATCCATCACCTGGTCTCGCCAGACCCGGGGCCCCGCTGCCCTGACCGGCCGAGGGGATGCGACTGATCGCTCCCGGAACCGGACCCGCAGCTCCTCGGGTAACTGGGCTGGAGCGCAGCCGGCGGGGACACGATGGGGGAGGGCGGAGGCTCACGCGCACCTTCTCTCCTAGTGGACAGTTTCCGCAGCCGCTGCTCCTCCGCCAGCTCCTGCAGCGAGTTTGAGGATTTCTCTGAATCCCTCCCCAGAGGGTAAAACTTGGAATGGAGGGGAAGAACCGCTTCCAATCGGGTGTCTGGGGAGACTGGAAACAGTCTTTTGCAGGGTAATTGGGTGGCAGAGACTGGAGCCCTGAAATCACTAAGGGCTAGGTGGGAGGTGCCAAAGAGCCGTTCCATGGGTCGTGGATTGCTTCCTCCCCAGGGCCCGCCTCCGTGGGAAGCCTCCCAGCCCCACCTGGACCCGCTCCAACATGGTGAGTGTCTTTCCTGCGGTCTCGGGGAAGTAGGAGCAGCACTAAACCGAGACCAGGAGCCGCTGCTCCCTTTTCCCATGATTATATTCTGGGAGAGCGCATGGCAGAAGCATTCCGGAAATGCCCCCGTGCACAGGGACCTTTGGACTGGAAGGGAGAATGGGAGAGTGAGGGGCGAGGACGCTGGTTAAGAACATCACCTCTGGCCTCAGGTTTGAGCATGAGTGGCCCAGTGTGACGCAGGTGGTTTCTTAGCCTCTGCGCCTGTGTATCAGTAACTGGGCTTGGTAATGGTTCCCCGCCTCGGGTTCTGGTGAAACTGAGGTGCCCAGGAGGTTCGTCAGCCCTTAGTTTTCCTGAGGTCCTTAGGTTCAGAATGCCCGGTGGGATTTGGGGTTGGACTAGAGAGATGGTACGTGATCCCCTTTCTTGCCTCCTATGCATCAGAAGTCTACCCCCCTGGAACGCGGCCGCCATCAGAGACGCCTGGCCAGTTCGGGGAACTGGGTCCCCATGAAAGGTGAGCCTGGGATTCCACTGCTCCAGAGCCCACTGGGGGTGATACGGAGGGCAGATCCGACTCCATCGCCCTCAGCGGTCACAGACCCTCACAGCCCTCCACACGCACGTCTGCTCTCACAGAGTACAGCTCCGACCACCAGGCGGCCGACATGGCCGAGATAGACGCCCGCCTGAAGGCCTTGCAGGAGTACATGAACCGGCTGGACACGCGGTCGTGACCCAAGAGGAAGCGCTGCCCTTCGTGCCCCACCCACCAATAGCTCACAGGGGGCGGGGCCTGGCCCTGCTCGCCCTCCCAGCCCGTCCAGGCCCCGCCCCATCCTGGTGCTTGGGTCGCAGGTGCTTGGGCCCCTGACCCCGCCCCCTCCCCCAGGCACTGCATGCTGGGAGGGAGGATGAGTGCGGGTTTTTGTAAATAAATGTATTTGCCCTTGGGATCCCTCAGCTTATGACTGATGGGTGGGGGGTGGAGTGGGCACCTATGTATATTTCTGGGTACATCTGTCACTGGGAGGCAGGTTAGGGTTCAGGTTCCAAAGGGGTCTAAGACGTGGTAGTGAGCAGCCCGTCCTCAAGGGGATCCAAGCGGAAGGTCTGCACAGGATGTCTGGCTGTGTGGAGGAACTGGGGCACCTTGCAGCATGCTTCGCTGCCCAGGAGGGCCCCTGTGCCGCTGTCTGGGGGTCTGGGCCGATCTGGTGCTGATTCCTGCGCTCTGACCTGAGACCTCTGGGTTCTGAGCTGTGATGTTGCTTCTAAGCTGGGATCTCTGGGGTCTTGGTTCAGGGTCGGGGCCTCTGGGTTCTGAGCACCCGCAGACTGACAGACAGCTGGGAGACGAGGAGGATGTGGGGGGAGGCATGCTTCGGGACAGTTTGAGCTGCACCTTTATTGAAGGGCGAGGCTGTGGAGTTTTGGACAGGAGGGGCGGGAGATGGGGCCTCACTCGCGGTATTGCGGCCAATTCCGGATGATTTCGTAGAGCTGGTCCCCTGGAGAGAGTGTCTGTTGAATATCCCTGTGGCCTTTGACCTCGTAGTTGGGTTTCAGGGATCCTCTAGCCACCCCACAGGCCAGCAGACTCTGGGCTGCCCGGATTGCCCTGGGTGGCGGGGACCGCTCTGGGGAGGCAAGAGGCAGGAATAAGGCTGGGGCTTTCTGGAAAGGGCTAGGGATTCAGCTGTGCCCCCAGAGGGCAGACCCCAGCTGCCACTCCTCAGCAGTGACAGGCTCTGCGTGCTGCCAGTTTCCTTGTCTGTGAGAGGGGAGAATGACGGCACTGCCCCAGGGAAGGCAGAGGGGGTCATGCTGTAAGCCCGCCAGGATGTGGATGGGCCTCTGGGGCAGGCAGCTGTCGGATTATGACTTACCCTCCCTCATCCGCTCCCAAACCTCAGGGTGCTCCCCACCCTGGCTGCTGTTACACCAAACCCCTCTTTGGTGCCTGGGACTAAGGCTTGAGCACTTTTGTGAAGAACTAGCCCCCACCCTTAAGCTACAGTGGTTGGCCTCTAAGGGGGACATGGCTCAGAGAGGCAGTTGTGTTCCACACCACCAAGCTGTAGGCTGCGGAACCCCCACAGCCTCCCACCCTGCTGTGCCCTACGCCAGGCCCCGCGTCAGTCCCATCCCCGCCAGCTGGACAGCCACGTACCCATGTAGTTTCCCATGAAGGTGATGCCGATGGACATGGGGTTCCAGGCGGTGCCTGAGTGGTCACCCTTGATGTCCCAGCCCCGGCCTTCATACACCAGCCCGTCTTCTCCGATCAGGAAGCTGTGTGGGTAGTGAGGGGGCCTTGATGAGGGAGGAGACTCCCCCCTCCTCCACCACAGCTCCCCCATCTTTACCTACCAGTCACTGTTTCTCCAGCCTCCCTCTCAACCCCTGACTTCCACAGTAACAATGACATGGCACTGCCACATGCCGGTGCAGCCCTGGTGCCCACACCAATCCTGTGAGCCACTAAGCTTCCACTCTGTAGATGGGGAATCAGAGAGGGGGAGACAGCTGCCTGTGCTCACACAGCCAGTTGGGGGCAGAGCCAGGATCTTCACCCATGGAGCCCCTCAGCTCCACCATCTGACCCCTAGCTTTCTCACGGCCTTCCTTCAGCTCCTGATGTCCTTTATCTTCACTTCTGTCCTCCCAGACAGGCGCCATTGGTAATTCACTTTAAGCTGAGGGAGCCAAGACTTAGAAAAAGGGGTGATTTGGCCAAAGTCACATCCAGAGACTCCTGCCTCTCAGGCGTCCATTCAGCAGCTCTTATGCCAGCCCCCCCCCACCTGCTCCTGCCTCCTGTCCTGCTGGGGTACCTGGTTGGGGGGCCCGGATCAGGGACGTAACAAGCCCTGGAGGTCCAGCATCTGCCTGAGCGTCCCACCCGGCCCCAGGTTCTTCAGACTTACTCACCTGCCGTGGCCCACGGAGGAAGTGTGACTGCCGCAGAGGGTTAACAAGAGGGCGAGCATCTGAGCGCCCTCAGCCCTGCAGTCTGGGTCTGTTCGAACTGGATGTTGATTTCGCATGTCGGGGCCCACGCCCACCCCTCAGGAAGCCAGACTCTCAGAACCTGGCTCTGAGGTTAGTTTTGTAGTGAGCGACCACAGCATGGTTTGTTGCCACAGCCCCCCCACCCCCACCCCACACTGCTGAGGGCGTTCTGTCTGTCTGCTAAATGGAGTCAGCTGACTTGTCATTAACGCCTCAACGCCCACCAGCAGGTGGGGACAGCCAGGAGCCCCTTTTGCAGTGAAGAAATTGAGGCTCAGAGAGAACGCAAGGTGACAGGGGAAAGGTGGTCCAGGAGGTTTGAATCAGACTGAAAGCTAAATTCTGAGAAGGCAGTTTGCTTCCCCGTAAGGTGATGGAGGCCAGAAGCTGCAAGCCCAGCCCGTGATCGTCATGGCTTCCTGGAAACTGCCAGACACAGGGCCCCTCACTCTTGGGAACAAAACCTTGACACTGGACTCTTTGAATAATCAAATCTCCTCCGAGAGGGTCCCGGCTCCTGGGCCTTGCTTGCCTTGCCCCACTGACACATTTGCTAAGGGTGGGGCCTGGGAGTTTGCATTTCTAGCAGGGCGATTTTCTCATGCTTACCAAGACCTGAGAACCTCTAGAACCTGAGAAGGCCAATGGCTGGGGCGGGGGGCGGGTGTTGAGATAACCCCCAGAAGCAGTTCCAGTCTGCCCCTGGTTCTGCCCTTACCTGAGATCTGTCCTCCCCACAGCAGCCAGAGGGGGTGTCTTATCCCCCAAGAAGCTCACACCCCTCATGGCACCTGGTTTCCCGCGCGGGCGGCACCAAGGGCCTCTCCATGGTCCATCTCTCTCTGTGTGTCTCGGTCCTGTCCCCTCCTGGTTTCACACCTGTCCTCTCCCCACTGCACCTCACATCCTGCTGTACCCCCTCTCTGCTGGCTGTACTCCCCCCACCCCCAGCCATCTCTGGGCCACTGTGGTGGAGCCGGTCCCTTGCCTCTGCCTCCAGAGCCCGGCTTCTGGGTCGCTGGGCTCCTTAGCCCCATTGCTTCACCGCCTGAATCTGCCATCTGTTCTTTCTTACCTGTTTCTCCCATTAGGCCCCACTGGCACTGATACCCAACCCCCATCCCTGTATCTGGCACCTGGCCGGGCACAGGTAGGTGCCCAGAGACGTTTGGTCTCCAACCCAGGGCAGGCAGCATGCAAGTGATTTGCATGTGTTGGCCTGGCCAAGCAAGTGCCCCCCACCCCACTGGCTTTGCGGAGGGTGGGGACCGCTCAGCCACCTGGCCCCAGGGCTAACCAGTCTGGTTTTCTGCCTTCGGCTAAGGCCCGGTGTGGAGGAGCCCTTGTGTCCTCAATCTTGGCACAGTCGCTTGCGCCGCCTGCCCCTCCCCCGTGGCCTCCCAGCAGGGGCCCTCACCCCAGCCTTCCCTCCACACTCACTTGTAGCCCACGTCGCACCAGCCCAGCGTGCGTGCGTGGTAGTGCTGCACGTTCTGCACCTGCCTCAGGCAGGAGGCCGGCGTGTCGCAGTTGCTGCCGGCCGTGTGGGACACCACGACGTAGCGCACCGGCAGCTTCAGGGTGTGGGCGCACTCGGAGGCCAGGGCCTTCCACTCGCGCCGGGGCACGATGGGGCCACAGCAGGCCGGCGTGACAGCTTGCTGCCCGAGCGCGAGGCGGGAGAGGCAGGCGAGGAGGGCCCAGGCGAGCGGCGCGCGGAGGCCGGACATGGCGGCGGGCACCGGGGGTCTAGGAGCGCGCGGCTGGCTGGCCGCACCTTTATCCGCTGGGCCTGGGCAGCAGGAAGATCTTACTTCACTCCCTGACAGGACTTCCCACGCCGGTCACAGGGAACCCCAAACTCTGCTTCCTTCTCTGGAGGGACCTCAACAGGATGCGGTGCGGTCAGTCTGGTGGAGGTGGGAGGAGGAAGCGCACGCCTGGCCGGCCCTTACGCAAGCCAACCGCGTGGGGGCCGCGGGGGGCTGGCCATGGGCCTGGGCCCTTGGGCTTGCGGTTTCTGGAAGTCTCCGCATCTGGAGCCCTGCCCTGCTTTGTCTCCTCTGTTAATTCTCTCAGTTCTCCTGGCAACTCACCAGGAACTTGACACCTAAGCTGGGCGGCTGAGAGGTGCAAGTGAGGGTGGGGCAAGGGGGTGCTGGGCCCTTCTTCCTTCTTCCTGCAGGGTCTACAACAATAAGGCTCCTCTCCTAAAAACACTTCTTTGGCCCAGGCCCGATGCTATTTAACCTTGCAGCAAACTGAAGAGGAAATCAATTCACAGTTGAGTACACTGAGGCTGGAGAAGGGGAAGTCACTGCTGAACCCCGGCACGGGCAGGGCCACACTCAGAGCCACACTGCTGGCCCTTGAGTCCTGGCCATGTCCATGTATGAGCTCCGGCTCCTGGAGTCATTTTCTGGTGCCTCTGTATTCCCCACGCACAAAGCAGGGGTTTCTGTAAAACAAAGGACCCAACTCCTGTGATCGATGTGGGATTAAATGAGTTGAAGGGGTTGAGCCCTTAAAAGATGCCTGGCTCACGGTGCCATGGAAGTGCTACGGGGTCTGGCACTTGCATCTTGGGAGAAAGCAGCATGCTTTACGTGGGTGCTTCTGGCTGCTCCGTCCTGCACAGAAGTGAAGCAAAGTGGTGGGGAAAAAGAATAGAAAAACTGAAGACATCACAAGATTAAAACCTGACTCACAAGGAGGTGGGGGCAGAAGGGATTAGCATGACTATTAACCCCGCCAGAGAAATCGAGGCATATCACTAGGCATAAGGCCCACGCAGTAGCAGACTCAGTAGCAGACTGCTGCAGGGAGTGTCGGACCTCAGGGTAAAGGACGGAGACGGCCCGCTGTGGAGTCCCGCTTCCTTTAGGATTCCACATAGTCATCTAAAATCAGCAGCAAACAGGTCGCTCCACAAAGGAGTGAGCCCCTCCCCACACCCCCACACCCCCACGAAAGGGAAAAGGACTCTATCAGGGCAGTCCCTGCCCTGGCACGGGACGGCAGTCCTGCCCCCCTGTGCCTCTGCAGGTGCTTCTTCCCACCCGCTCTCTCCCTCTGCAGGGCAGCAGCCTCCTGCCTGCCCGTGACCTGCACCTGCCGGGACTTCTCTGCACTGACCCCCTCAGCGGAGGCCGCTCTCCTAAGGCCGCCCCCTGCGACCGTGCAGGCCTGTCAGCAAGCCTGTCCCTTCGGGGCAGCTCTTCCTGCCCATTTATGGCTATGCAAGTTTCTTGTATGCCTCTGTCCTTTTTCCTAATAAACCTGCACTTTAAATATAACTGAGTCTCTGTCTCGTGGAGAAACTCGCCTGGGGAACTCGCTGTGTGCCGCTGAGAGGGGAGCTCTGGTGAAACCTTTCCCGGAGTGAACCCAGGGACCCCGCACTAACTCCAGAACGACATCGGGACACAGCTGTTTTCCGGGGTCGCTCAGTGACTTGGGGTCAATGGTTGGGCCTCAGGCTCTCCTGAGCTGGATATTCAACACTCTTGACCATTTTCCTGTTGGGTTGTTGTAGAAGGATATTACCCCAGGGTCCGTGAGACATGCTGCAAGCCTATTCCTCCAGTTTGTTTAAAAATCTTTTGTGGTTTACCTGTTTCCTGTCTTAAGAAGATCTTTCCACACCAAGATTATCAACCTATTTTCAAAGACTACTGTTATCTTGTCTTTTACTCTTGGACCTTCCCCTTGCCTAGAACTTCTATTAAATAGCATGATGTAGGGGTCTAACTTGTAGTAGAGTGATTAGCTGTTTGTCTTGGTACCTTTTGTTACATAGTTGGACATAGTTTTAATCTTCAGCCATGCCACTACTTAGCCGGTATGTGGGCGGAGTTCCACATAGTTGACCAATTCCTTTTTGAAATGCTCACATCCTTTAGCTTCTGTGGCACAAGACTGTCTTGATTTTCCTCCCATCTCTGGCTGGGCTTTGGTTTTCTTGCAGACTTTTCTCTTCTAGACTAGTACGGTATTTTCTCTGCCTGATGACTGTATCCAGGTAATGGCTTCAGCCAGCAGCGAAATGCCAATGACCCAGAATTTCACATGGAGCCCAGAGCTCTCAGGACCGAGTCTCCCCACCTGTCCACTTGCCACCCCTACTTGGATGTCCCCAAGGCCCTGCACACGCAAGGTTTCCAGGACGGAGGCCTCCCTGGTGGCGCAAGGGTTAAAGACAGTGCCACTAAGCTATTACCAGCCATTGCAGCATGACCTGTTCTGCTCCCCACTCTGTCTCTGGTGAATTCTTTCATCCCCCACACCTCTGGCCTGTACCCCAGCTATTGTGCAGCCTCAGGGACTGAGACGCTCCCATTCCAGCTAGGGAAGCCGCACACCGGGGCCAGCCTCTGCTCTCTCCCCGCTGGGTCTGGCCCAGAGAATGCTCAGCACACAGCCGGTGCTGGGTTCCTAGTTACTGAGGGGCGAACATGCAGCCCTCCGCCCCCGCCCCCACCTGCCCTCCTAAACATCCTGTGAATTGGAACGTTCCTGTGGTTTCCGCCTGGTCATCTCCCACCTCCTCAGGGACTCCTGATGGGCGCCCTGGACCCTGGGAAGCCACCACTCTGATCTGACCCTGCCTTTCCTGAAGGTCACCTCCACAGGGAGCCACTTTTTCCGAGGATGAGGTGCAAAGGGCTCACCGAGACCCAGAGCACCCATCCAGACTGGCCTTGCTCTGGCGGGAGCCCCGGCTGGGGGTCCCAGAGGCTGTCCCTGCTGCCCTGGCAGGCGCGGGGTGAGGCCCCCAGGGCACTGTACCTGCTGCAAGTTTTAAAGAGCGGAAGCTTCAAAATTCAGGAAATGTGCACTTTGCCTTTGTACAAAGCACTCAGCTACCCTGTTGTAAACAGGCAGGAATTATTTGTACATCGAATTCTTGAACAATATTAAGAACGTAATCCTTAGCCAAGCGGGGGGAAATCTTCCTTTGTTAGAATTTTATTTATTTTGTAGTTTGTCAGCCTAAAATGACACTCCGTGACTGTCATTTTAGACGGGGCCATATCTTTATTTTGAACGGAGGAATGAGATTTACTCCCTGTGTGTTTTAGGTAGTTGAATTTTTAAATATTGAACTCATCTGCTGCCTTTGTTTGATCTTGCTATAATAATAATTCATTCAGCCAGTGTAAAAACTCCTCAGTCTTGTCATGGAGCAAAAAATACTTGTTTCCTTTGTTGTATCAACAATGAGAGAAGAGCAATGAAGTGGTGATTTATTATAAAGAAGACACGATTAAACACAACCCAGACTCTTGGCTCTTCTCCTCGATGCTGCCAGTCCTAAAATGCTCCCCCACCCTAATTGTCTTTTCCACTATTCTTTGGTCTCACCTCAGAGGTGAGAGAGCTCCTATCTGCTCTCTCCACATTATTTCCTTTCTTGGAATTTATCACAACGGTAGTTACGAACGTCCCTGTGAACCGGGAGGAGACCGAGGGCAGGGCTGTCCTGCTGCCTTCTGTGTCTCTGGTGACGTCACACAAAATCCCGGCATTCTCACCTGCTCCAAGCCTGCTGTGCCTTTCCCTGGCTTCCCGTGACCAGGAAGCCCTCCTGGTCTGTGGCGTGAGCACCAGTGACCTGCTGAGGCCTGGACAGCCAGGGCTTCCGCTGCCACCACAGCCCGTGAGGTGATGAGCAAAGATCATCTCACAGATCCTGACTCCTGGAGACGAGTCAGCTTCCTGACCCCAGCTCGCCTCAGCCACTGACACATCATCCCAACAGCAGTTCACAAACACAAACACACTTGCACTCACACTCACACACACCCACACTCACACACTTCCCAGCACCACATCAGGTCGTTTGATGAGGTGGGGCTTGGCGAGCAGGCTGAGTGGGCTACGCCAGCCCTGCATCCTGACAGGGACGAGGTTCCCTGGGGGAGGGGGGCAGAACCCCATGTCCTGTGGCAACCACAACCCCCTCCCCCAGAGACTTCCACCTCCAGCCCACCCCGCTCCTGCCCTCCCCTCCACCCTAGCAAAGGCCTGTCACACCTCCCTAGTGAGTCCCTGTGGGAGAGATTCGTGCAACACCTCAGGCTCCGATGCATCCGCCGGGACATCCCAGGGTCAGCAAACCTCAGCGCCCCTGAACGTGCTGCTGACAGCGGCTCGAAGGCAATTCCAGGTTACGCGCAGCTTGCAACCTGCATCCCATGAAACAGGAATATTAACCAAAAAACATTTGAACGGGGTGGGCGGCAGGTCTGAGCGCAGCAGGAACTGTCCACACCTCTGGTGCTGACCCATCACTGCTTTCATTGCTTCTGTGCGGAGCGACGCCTTCACTTCCCTAAGGAACTTTGCTTTGTGAGGGGTTCTGATTCCCACATGTGTGAAGTGAGGGTCTGGCAGGCCCCTGAAACACCCTGTTCCCTTCCTGTGGACTACCAAAGCCCACAGCTGGGCCTGGTTTTCAAGGTTCTCCCAGGAAGGCAGCCACAGGGTTATGAAGAGTGCTCAGCAGGAGAGGCCCGTGAGCCCTCAGTGTGGCCTGGGGCGAGGACCTCAGCTTTGGGGCCTTGGGGCTTGGGGATGATTTTACATTGAGAGCTGGAGGTGACTAAAATGCAGGTGAAGAGAATGGAGAGAAGTTCATGCGTGATAGTGGGGGGAGGGTGGGGCACTGAGACTGAGCTGCAGAAACTGGGTTGAGGTGATGAGGCCTCCAGCTGAACAAGGGGAAGAACCTTAAGAGACACTTTGGGGGCCCCCCCTGGTGGCGCAGTGGGTAAAGCACTGCACTAAGACGCTAAAGCCACCTCAGCATGAGTTCCATCCCTGCTTGCCCCGGAGCTGACCCACACGGCGCGGCAGACCTCTCCTGACCCAGCCGCTGCTCCCCTTAGCAGTGTACTTAGTTGATCTGCCTTTCTGCTCCCCACTCTGTCTCTGGTGAATCCTCTCACCTGCACCTCTGGCCTGTACCCCAGTTCTGTATGAATAAAAAGAGAGAGAGAGACACTTTGGGCTGTGGTAAGGTGCTGTACTAAGTCTAAGGCAGGGACGTCAGGAAACGGGCAGGACACAGTGTCCTCTCCACCTCTTTTAGGCCCCACCTGCCAGCGCAGGCCGGGGGCTAGAGGTGCCTTTTGCCAGGGCTTTGCAGCTGGGTGCAGAGCAGGACGCAGCGGGCTCTTCTGCCATGATGGCGCCTTCCCCGAGCTCCTGCCTCCTGCCTCGGCAGTCCTGGCTACCTCCCTAAAGGACACACCTCCGGCTGGCCCACACCCGGTCTGCAGGGCCTGGCCAGAGCCCAGAGCCCAGATGACGAGTCCGGAGTCCTCTTGGCCACCCACGAAGGGCCCGCACGGCTGCCTCCAGCCCCTCTGCCTGGCACTGTTTCTCTGGGCCCAGCCTTTCGAAACCCCCAGCTCTGGTGCAGCTTTGAATCCTTTCTTTTTAAGGAAAGATTTGCTTACTTATGCATACAAGAACTGGGGCACAGGCCAGGGATGTGGGGGATGAGAGGATTCCCCAGAGACAGAGCGGGGAGCAGAACAGACGGACTCACTGAAACACACTGCTGAGGGGAGCAGTGGGGAGACAGGAGGGGTCTGCTGTGGGTCACTCCCTGGCCTGCGATTGAACTCATGCTGCAGGGGCTGGTGACAGCTTGACGGTGCTGTCTTTAACTCTTGCACCACCAGGGAGTCCCTCATCTTTGAACCCTTAGCTCAAGCACTCCCCTCTTCCCGATCTCCCACCAGGGCAGGTTCCTCCAATGTCCCACCCCCCAGGGGATCCCATGGCCTCTGGGCTTCCCCCAACCATACCTGTGCTCTTGGGGCCCTCCAGGTGTGAGGATAGTCTGCGTGCTGGGACAGGACCTGGCAGAGTCAGTGTGCGGTCCTCAGTGGGTCTGTACCGGGCTGGGCCCTCAGCCATCCCCGGGGACAGGATTTCAGGTTCCTCCCTGTGTCGGCTGTGACACCAACAGTGGACTGGCTGAGTTCAGTGACACTAGATAGGACGGTCACCTCCAGGGTCACCAGCAACCATCTGGAGAGTGTAGCTG